ACTCTGGGAGCAGAACCCTGGGCTGGGTTTCTGGGAGCTGTTTGTCCATCCCTGTGAGCTGGAGCAGGGCAGGGACAGCTCTGTGGCTCCGACACGGCGCTCACATGTCACGAACAGCCGGGGTTGCCATGGCAATCTCCTTTTCCTCCAGAATTGCAGTGCTGAAAAGACACTTAAATTCTCCTGTAACTGGCAAGAGCAGAAGTTTAGTGCTTTTTCTGACAGCTCTACCTCGCTGCAGTCTGGGTATTTTTTAAACTATGTTAATTAGCACTTAAATTTTTTTTTTTCTTCAAGTATGGGATGTAGGGTTTTTTATTTTTATGTCTTTGATTCTTCTACTTTCTTCCCCCTAAGCTTTTGCCATCAGGTTCCAATCAAAATTTTACCGCTCTATTTTTACCTACTGTCTGTAAAAGCAGCAAAAAGCCCTTTTTTTCCCCCCCTTCTTGTGTAGAAGAAGAAGAAGAAGGGGGGGGGAAAAAAACAAAAAAAGATAAATGGATGTTACATAAATGGAGCCAGGGAGGCTGGGAGGAGACACAGGTCCAGTGCTGCTGGTTGGGAAGGATGGGAAGGTTTTGGGGAGAGGAAAGGATGAAATAGCTCTGCCTGATCCATCCTGCATTGCCAGTGGAGCCTGGCTGATTAAAGAAGGGAGCTCTTCGAGATGCCTGCAGATGAAAAGCGGATCTAGGGAGGAAAAGAAGGACCTCTGGCAAGACATTATACTGATTCATAACCAATAAATTAGTTCCCTACAGGAAAATCACCCCCAGAACCCCCCCAAAAAATCCTGTACCCAGTGAAATCAGTGGGGAGTTGTGCAATGAACTCTACTGACACCAGGCTATGGCTTTTACCAAGGTATTAGTTCTAGGTTTGGCTTTACAAATGGAGCTTGAGGGTGAAGAATGGCTGTATTTACAGTGGTTCTCATGGAGCATGCACGAGGAAACCATGGAGCCTTCCAGGGAGCTCAGAGGGATGCAGGCAGTCACCTCGTCCTGAGGGAGCTGCAGGGGTTGGAGTCTGCTGGATGTTCACTGGGAGGAGAGTGTGGAGATGCCTGCTCTGTGGTTTAGGGGGTGTTTGAGGGCTCAGCAAAGGGGCCCCTGTGTTTCTGTCACTGTTGAAGGGGGTGGTGGGTCAGTGCCCTCTCCTCTCCATGTTCCCTCCAGCACAGCCCCGGGAGAAAAAAATAAGGATTACTCAGTGACAAGTAAAGTTTAGAGTCTTTTTTTTCATTCCTGCCACCTCTCCACAGACCCCTGAGACCTCAAAATGTGATGAGAGTTTCCTTCAGATGATCTCAGTGCTCACTGTCTGCACTGACCAGCTCAGCCCGTGTCCCTTGGCCCCCCAAAGCTGCAGATCCCACGCCAGAGCTGCCCTAAGATACCCTGCTGCTGGTTTGAAGTCTGCTGCTGCCCTCCAGCAAACACAAACCTCTCCATCTTCTGGGAGACAGAACCAGGTTTTTTTAGGGAATATTTTGCAGTTCACCTCGATTAGTCACAGCAGAACAGAAATGCAGAAGTCGGGTGTTTGGGAAAGGCAGAAAAAAGGAACTCAGCTGCTCTGGGGAAGGGGGTTGTTGTCCTTGTGATGGAGGGGGACACCAGGAAAAGGACAGGGATGAGGTGGGTGACTTGAGTTCAAAGGGCTGATGGGACACAGACCAACATGAAACAGATTTTTAAATTAGGCTACTAAAAATACAGGTTAAATGTTATCAATCGAACTTGTCATCAAAGAATGACCTGCAATGAGTCTTTGGGATGGGTCCAGGTTTAAGTCAATGGCTGCTGTGTAGGATGGGGGAAGCTGGTGGTTTGCAATCCCTCGGGGAGCCATCCTGCCCCTCCTGGGGCACAGGAAACAGTCCCCTACATTTACAGGAGCAAGATCTCACTGTTCCTTGGAGCTCTGGAGCTTTCCCAGCTGGCAACAACAACAACAACTCAGCTCCAACTGCATGGACCTCCCTGGGCACCAGCTGGGAAACCTCTTCCACCAGGGCAAGGAATCAGATGTACCCTGGTGTGACACCCAGTTCATCCAAAGGCAAATGCAAGGATTTGTGTCAAGCTGAGAAGGAAAAATCCTCCCTGCTGCAATCCTGGCTCCAGGCTCGCCCAATGCTCGCATCTCCAGTCTGCATCGCCCCATCTTCTCCTTGCTGCTCTCTAGAATCCCCTCCAGGGAAGATAACAAGCACTCACAGGATCTGAAAGTCTGACACACCTCATAACAAACACATGGTGGTGGGCTCTAGTTTGGGTCCTTCTTCTCCTTTTTCCTCTTGCCCTTCTTGGAGCCTGCCCAAGGGATGGAGGTGGCGGTGGGATGGCTCCTGGGAGGCACCAGAGCAGCTGGATGGTCCAAACCACGCTCTGCAGCGTGAGGGGAAATGGAACCTCTCCCCCAGGATGCCTGACATGGAGGATTCACTGCAGATTCCGACCAGGGCATGTGAAATGAAAGAAACAAAAAATTGCCCGGGTGAGGAGAGGAGAGGGAAGGAAAGCCCAGAAAGAGCTTCCCTCAGGGTTTTCATCTTGAATAAGGTCCTTGAAGACCAACAGCGAAGAAAGGTAGAACTGCTGGGGAGGAAATGTTGTTGAATATGCAGACAGGACCAGAGAGAGGGAGTTGGAGCTGTGCTGGTGGTTGCAGAGTCGGTTGGAAGACTGTGCACAAGTCTCAGCAATGCCCATGTGTGAAAAACGGGTGGTGCTTCTCAAGCCCTGATTCACAGTCGGGGAAAAAATGGCAAACAGACTCCTACTACCCCCCAGTCTTGTGTTTAGGATGCAAAAAATAGACATTTTGTGTGATGCTGGCGAATTCTCCTTTTTTTTTTTTTTAACCTCAGAAAATACTGTACAAGATGCTCTGGCTCCCCTCTGATGCTGTGAAGTCCATGGGCATGGCCATAAAGGAAAGGAAAGTGGAGCTGGAGGAGGTGAAATCAAACAAACAGGACTCGCTTGTGGCAATGCTACGATCAACTTCCTGGGAATGTGGGCCCAGGGGGATTGTCAGTGGGCCCCTGGTTCAAAGACAGCCCCACTGCAGCAAGTCCTGAGGCTGTGCCTCCTTAAAGCTGCCCCACAGGCTGCTGGATCCAAGTCCCTTCCGAGTGACCAGCGCTGTTTTGAAGCAATAATTCGGGACCCCTCTATAGGGGGGCGGGGTGGTGGTGGCGGTGATGGTGGTGGGGTTTTTTTTATTGCATTAGGAAACAAAACCTTTAAAGCATTAAGACAGCCCTTTGATGTCCCTGCCAAAAAGGATGTGGTTGATTCACAAGACGCGTTAACGCCGCCGGCCTCGGGCTCCTGCTCGGGTGGTGCTTTGCCTGCCTGTGTCTCTTTGCCGTGCGGAGTCGGGCCGGGGGGAGGTTCCCCCAGGTGGGCATGCACATGCATGGGCAGCTTGGGTCACAGTGGCATGGCCAGGGGCTACTCCATCCCGCTCCTCAGGATCTGGTTGGCCGCGATCAGCATGACGCTGATGATGAAGGCCATGGCGAAGGCGCAGATAAGGCTCTTCCGCACGCAGGTCTGTCTGTTCTGCTTCTGGGCGTGCACTGCGGGGGACAGGAGGGAGGACACGGTCAGACAGGGCCAGGGGTTGTGATTCCCACCAGGAAATGCTCCTCTGGTTATCACGGAATGTGCTGAGCTGGGAGGGACCCCCAAGGATCATCAGCCCAACCCTCAG